CATTAATCAAAAGTGTGTAAAGATCTGTCTTCTATATATCTCATTTCTCTTAGTTCTATTTTAGTTATTTCGTATATAAATTGATTGGGTAAATCATAAATCAAACCGATTAAAACTTGGTTTTTTCTGATCTCTTTGTTTATGTTTTTTGAACAGAAAATTATCAAAGAAAAATGGCAGATTTTGAGAAAGAACATGTTGGAGAATCATCAATGTGCCAAAAAGGATTAGAAAGGGAAAGGCAATGCCACAGCCTCACCGTGGCACAAAGTCATCAACTTGAAGCGTAAGATCAATTTTTTTTTTATTAAAAATAAAGAACTTGAACATTCATATATGTTTAATTTTTTTGCTTGCTTGATAAAGAGATGATGTTATTTTCTAAGAGGCATGAGTGAAGAAATCAAAATTAAATAGTGATATAATAATTAATTTTCTATATTTGTTTTTTGTGCATCAATTTATGTTTAATTGTTGTTAATTTCATGTGTTTATTTTTCCTTTTGTGCGGGTTCAACTAATTTAGATTCACATTAAAAAGTTCCACTTTAGGGTTCCACTAATCTTGATTTACATAAAAAAAAAATCAACTACAACTCCCATGTAACCTAGATTTGCATTGGAAAATTTCACTTTAGAACCCGAGTAATTCAGACTAGTGTTGGAAAGTATCACTTTTGAGGATAAAATGTTCCCTACCATAGGTGACAACTGACAACTCCAAGTCCAGGACACGAACACTTGCACGAGACTTCTTATTTAAGGATAAATGAGTACTTAGCTCTCATCATTCCTTGATGAATATCTGGTACCTTCTCTAAGGTATGACTAATCTAAATTCACATTGGATATTAAGTCCCTTTTTGAGGTAAAACGTTCTCTATCAAGGATACCATTAATTTTGACACTCAAATTTGAGACCCCAGTGAATGATAGAGAATTAATTATCAACTAACCATATCTTTTTGATGATACATAAAGTCTTTTTCATTCTTTTCAGTTTTAGGTTTGTTTCTTTAAAAAGTGACTAATGATCATTGTTCTTTTTTGTAAATTTTGAAATGAAGATTCTTCAATGAATGTTCGCATCCAAATGAAAATCAACAAAATCAACTGGGTAGGAAAATAGGGCTTGACCCTAAGCAAATCATGATTTGGTATCAAAACAAAATGACTCAAACAGAGGTAATATTAATTCATTTGTCCTTCTTCTATAAATGTAGTTATACTTAATTGATGACTTATGATTGTTGTTATCATTATTATTATTGTTGTTCTTGTTCTTGTTATGCAATAATTAGAAATGAATGACTAATTAAAAGTAGGGAAGACTCCATGGTGTGGCCAGTGCATCTCTTTTGTTAGGCCCCAAAATTTCTTCTTCAAACTTGCTTACGTTGTTCGAATGTGTTGTTTAAAACAACAATTTATTCTTCTACTAAGAATTACTACATTTACTTCCTTATTTTATTTTTCTTCCCTCCATTTACAATCAACTCTATTATTGACGATTTGACTTTTTCATAAAGAAAGTAAAAAAAATATTGGTTTTACAACTAGGAACTAATGATTTTCCTTTTATGAATTCTTTGACTAATTAAAGAAATTTTGAATTATTAAATGTGTGGTTTGAACTAAGTCCAAGATAGTCTTAAAATAGACCACAATCCAATATTCCAACTCTAAACAAAATTTACTATTTTTTTTGTTTGTTTTGTTGTTATTTGTTTATTACCAAACACATTAGTAATTTTTTTTTATCATGATCATATTTAATATCTCTTTTCTAGCTAATTAATTAATATTTTGAAAAGAATCATTTTACACCTTATCTACTTTAAAGACATGGTTGATCTGTCTTGTCACACCCCGAGCCTACACCCTGGATGTGGCCGGCACTCGAAGACCATTGCTGGCCCCAAGCGAACCCTTGGCCTGACTTTCTTAACTCAACGGAAACCTAACTCAACAGAATAACTCCATGCAATGCAAGGACATAAAACAACTTAACTGATAAAATCTGGCCCAAGAAGGCAACTCGAGTCTCAAAATAGAATATTTACATATATACATAGATGAGAGACTCAATACTAACTGACTGACTGTCTATGAAGCTTCTATAACACCAAATTGAGATGGATATTGGGACAACCCCACAACATCCTAATGAACTAACTAGAAAACAATGAAAATA